TTGTCTGCAGTTTTCTCTGTCTTCGTGTGGGTACGCTTGCTGCACTCTTCTTGCTCCCCCTTTAGGCATGACTCTTAAGCTTTTCTGTCTTCTTTGGTTCTTACGATTCACCATGCTGGCTACTAAAAACCTCTCATTTGTGTCCAGAAGTGAAGCTATAGGTCAAGTTTGTGGTTTATCCCTTGTGCACAGACTGTGGCCTGTCTTCTGAGCATGCTCCCTGTCCACCAGAGCTCTCTCTCACCACCACACACACAGGCCCACACAAGGAGCCAGCCACAGAACTGGGGGAGGTGTGGGTTTAGTACTCAGGGTGTTGGGGGTGCCCGTGGACCCAGAATGGAGATCCATGGGTGTGGTCCTTACAGAGGCTCTTGCTAAGTGCATTCGGCAGGAACTGCATCCCTTTAATGCCTTTTGAAATTCTTATCTGCCTCTTTCCTAATCTCTTCCCTCCCCCGAGTCATGGAGGGCCTGCCTCAGTACTCTGGGTCCTCCTGGAGGAGGAGAAAAAAAGGTTTCTCTGAAAAAAAAGAAAAAAGGGTTTCTCCAGCCTTGTCCTGCACGACTGGGGTAGCCAGGCACTCACTCACTGCTGTCGTTTTCCCCCTGCAGGAGAGGTCACTGCAGCAGGATAGTTTAGCCCCGTGCACTGTTTCCTTGTGGGGGTTGGGGGTGCCATGCTCTCCAAGTTTCTGTTACCACTGCTTCTGCTGTGACCAAGCTTGCTTTTTTTTTTTTTGCTTTAATGGCATGCTGGAATGTCTCCTCAGGAAGGCTAGACTTCTGCACATTCTGTCTTGTGTGTGGGTATGGGTGTCTCCCCAGTTCATTACTCTCCAGATTCTTTCCCAACTGTAGCAAGAGGGGTCTGGGCAGGTTTGCTGGCTCCACTGTCTCTGCAGCCTATACCAAGTTCTCTCTGCCTATTACTAGATGCACAGGTGGGCAAGACTCCTCCTGGGTCCCTCTTCATACGGTGCTAGATTCCACAACACCCACAAAGGTGCTTTTGTTCACAGATGTGTGTCTAATTTGTTGTTTAAAAAGGGTGATAAAAGAGGAATGTCTTACGCCACCATGATGGTGACATCACTCTCCTTCTCATTTTTAGAAATTATCATTTAATTGTTAGAACAGATCCTTTATTTAAAGGCCTATAGTGGGAAACTTATCTTTAGCAAGACTTGACTAACTAGTTACCAAGTAATGAAACAATATTGCATTTCTTTTAAAATGTTATGGAGTTATGACTTGTTAATATACCAAATGCTTTTCTTATGACTCCCTCCCCTCCTTCTTCTCTGTTTACCCCAGTACTTAGACTAAATATGAGGTGTTTGATTCTTTCCATATATTTTTCACTGCAACTATGGTTATTTTATCCCTTACACTAAGTGCAGGCAGAGGCTAGAATTATGGACCATATACATTTAAAAAGTTAAATAGAGGAGTTTGATTATGAGTGCTCAAAACTTGTTTCTCTGTTTCTTCTGCGAAGGGAGAGATACAATTCACATTTTATTTTATTTTATTTATTTTTTATTTTTTTGCTAGGGAAGATTTGCCCTGAGCTAACATCTGTTACCAGTCTTTCTCTTTTTGAATGTGAGCCGCCACCACAGCATGGCCACTGACAGACGCATAGTGTAGCTCTGCGCCCAGGAACCGAACCTGGGCCACTGAAGCAGAGCATGCTGAACTTACCCACTAGGCCCCCGGGGCTGGCCCTACAATTCACATTTTAAGTAGCAGAATCCTGACACCAAAAGCAAAAGTTGAGTGGGACTACCAAACTAAAAAGCTTCTGCACAGCAAAGGAAACCATCAATAGAATGAAAAGGCAATCTACAGAATGGGAGAAAATAATTGCAAATCATATATCTGATAAGAGGCTAATATGCAAAATATATAAAGAACTCATACAACTCAAGAGTGAAAAAACAATTTGGTTAAAAAATGGGCAGGAGATCTGAATGGACATTTTTCCAAAGAAGATGTGCAGATGGTCAACAGGTCCATGAAAAGATGCTCTACATCACTGATCCTCAGGGAGATGCAGACCAAACCACCACGAGATATCACCTCACACCTGTTAGAATGGCTGTTATCAAAAAGACTAGAAATAACAAGTATTAGTAAGGATGTGGAGAAAAGGGAACCCTTGTGCACTGTTGTAGGAATATAAATTTGTGCAGCCACTATGGAAAATAAAATGGAGGCTCCTCAAAAAATTAAAAATAGAACCATCATATGATCCAGCAATTCCTCTTGTGGGTATTTATCCAAAGAAAATGAAAACACTAACTTGAAAAGATGTCTGCAGCCCCGTGTTCATTGCAACATTATTTACAATAGCCAAGACATGGAAACAACCTAAGTGTCTATCAATGGTTGAATGTATGAAGAAATTGTGGTGTAAATATATAATGGAATATCATTCAGCCTTAAAAAGAATGAAATCTCGCCATTTGCAACAACATGGATGGATCTTGAGGGCATTATGCTAGGTGAAATAAGACAGAGAAAGACAAATACCGTATGATAGCACTTATATGTGGAATCTAAATAAAGAAATAAATAAAAAACCAAGTTCACAGATAGAGAAAACAGATTGGTGGTTGCCAGAGGTGGGAATTGGGGCGTGTGAGAAATGGGTGAACTGTTTTTGTTTTTGTTTTTTAGTTTAAATAAATTAAATAAAAAATAAATAGAAGAATCACTCTATCCTGCTATTTTTGTGTGTGTGTGTGAGGAAGATCAGCTCTGAGCTAACATCCATGCCAATTCTCCTCTTTTTGCTGAGGAAGACTGGCCCTGAGCTAACATCTGTGCAGATCTTCCTCCACTTATACGTGGGACTCCACCACAGCATGGCCTGACAAGCGGTGCATCGGTGCGTACCCAGGATCCGAACCTGGGCCGCCAGCAGTGGAGCGCGAGCACTTAATCACTACACCATGGGGCCGGCCCATATCTTGCCATTTTAAAAAAGAACCCTGATTGATCAGTCAGTGAAGAAGTATTTCATATTACTTTGCTTTCACAGACTTGGATGTTTCAAAGCCTAGGTTTCAATATGTGGGTTTTATTCATTAGCATTTAAATGGAAAAAATATGTAGGTTGGGGTTTGGTGACTCTATTTAGTCAACACAGACAGATGGTGGTGTTTAAGAATTGTTTGTGTCAGAGATTAGAAACCCACTCTTCTCTCAACTCTAGGCTTTCCCTGGAACTCCGGGGAGTTCCTGCAGCTCCGAGATAGATGGACACAATTCTTTCTCTGTGATGCCTTCTGAGCATCATTCCTCACTTTCCTGCCTCTTTTCCATGGGCTCTGTGAAGATGAGCTCATGTAAATGAGCATGGAAATGCCTGGGGGGGATGAGTGTGTCTGGCTTACCTTTCAGTCCGTCTTTCCGAGGAGGTGGACACAGATTGCCCACAGCTGAGGGCAGAAGACAGCATCGTTTCATTCCCCCAACTTGGGAAATAGAAACCGAAAGTAGGCTGGGTCATGAGGGGAATGCATTAATGATAAGGTCAAGCCTAATTCTACTGAGTGCTTTCTATGTGCCAGGTATTCAGCATTTTACATGAGCTTTACTCAGCCCTCAAAGAATTGTATGAAGTAGATGCCTCTATTACGCTCATGGTACAGTTGAGGAAACGGAGGCATGGAGAAGCCAAGAGAGTTTCCCAGGGTCACTTAACTAGTAAGTGACAGGAGAGGGATGGGAAGGAACTCTGATGGTGTCCAGTGGGAAAATCTCATCCCCAGACCTGTACACCCTCCTTCCCGGGAATTTTGTTGACTCAGGGAAGGGAACCAGAGTCTCCCTCGTGTGTAGCTGTCACCACCCCAGTGGATGCGGGATATAAGAAATTGTAGAGTTCTAAAATCTTTGGGTTGAAAGGCACCCAAGAGGTTCTCTCATTCCTCCCCTTCCCTGATGCATGAATCTTTCTCAAGTATTTCCAAGAGGTTTTCCAGCCTCTGCTGGAATGCCTTCAAGGATTAAGGAATTTAGTCTCTTGTGAGGCAACGCTATTTTTGGACAGCTTGAAGTGATAGGAAAGTCTAGCCAGCCTCCGTTTAATGCCCATCAGTCTTCTCCAGTTCTCCTGAGAGCTACCTGATCTCCCTCTCTTGCTGGAGGATACCAGGGACTGCCATGTGTGTGTCTCCTTTCCAGCTGGCTGAAAACTCAGGGAAAGCCTGTCTTGCCCATTTCTGCTGCCTCTGACTTTGTGGAGTGTGAAACCAGAGTCCTCTTCAGAGGAAGAATTAGGAAACCAAGGGTTAGGGTGTGGGGCAGTCTCTCTTCCAGTGGGAGTAATCTATTAACTGACATATCAACAACCTTCTCACAAACCATCTCAACTCCCCACCTGAAAGACTTGGAAATTCGAGGCACATCTTGACTGCTCTGCATGAGCACATTTACGCTAGGAACCAAGTATGGTGCTGGGGCCAGCGTGCATGCTTCATTGCGAAGAATACAAAGGAATTCAGGGTGTGGTTCCTGCCTCGGTGTTTCTGAAAAGATCCCAGGAGCAGGACTTAACAGCACCATGTAGTTGCGTCCCACCATTCACTTAAAATCCAGGGGCTGGAGAAGCTTAGGAAGACCAGTGAGGATCATTTTTGCCTTTTTCCACAATTTTTTTTGTTTTTATTATGTTGTCTGTGAGTGATTATTACGCTTGTCTTCTACCTACAGGTCTGCCTCCCACGAAGAGTGTCAGGAAACTCCATACAAGTCTCAGCTCTGTTGAGAATGAGCAGGGTGTGCTCTCCTGCTGGGCTCTCCCATTTGTCTGGTGGGAGGACACCAAGTGGGAAATCTTTTTTTTCCTTTACTATTTTTTAAGTGTCAAATGATCTCCTTTCACTGAAATTATAACTGAGGAATCAGTGTCTATTTTTTGTAACCTGAAATGGTTCTGCTTATTCCTTGTTACTCTAAGTTGACTCTTCTTTTCCTCTTCTGCAGGTCAGCCAGCAGACATGATGAGCACCAAGGCCTTTACGTTGGTCTCCGCTGTTGAGCGGGAGCTGCTGATGGGCGACAGGGAGCGTGTCAACATAGACTGCGTGGAGTGCTGTGGCAGGAACCTCTACGTGGGCACCAGTGACTGCTTCATTCACCACTTCCTGCTGGAGGAGAACGCTCTGCCCGCAGGGACAGCCACATTCACCGCCACGAAGCAGCTGCACAGACACCTGGGTTTCAAGAAGGCAGTGAGTGAGCTGCGAGCCGCGTCCGCCCTCAACAGGCTGCTGGTGCTCTGTGACAACTCCATAACTCTGATCAACATGATGAGCCTGGAGCCTGTCCCTTCAGGGGCTCGCATCAAAGGGGCCATGGCGTTTGCCTTGAACGAGAACCCTGTGAGCGGGGACCCATTCTGCGTGGAAGTCTGCATCATCTCTGTCAAACGCAGAACCATTCAGGTGTTCATGGTGTACGAGGACCGGGTTCAGATTGTCAGGGAAGTGTCGACGCCGGAGCAGCCCCTGGCCGTGGCTGTGGACGGTCACTTCTTGTGCCTGGCTCTGACCACCCAGTACATCATCCTGAACTACAGCACAGGTGTCGCCCAGGACCTGTTTCCTTACTGCAGTGAGGAGAAGCGCCCGATCGTCAAGAGGATAGGGAGACAGGAGTTCCTGCTGGCAGGCCCCGGAGGGCTGGGTGAGCGGGATGCTGTAGGCCTCCACTGACCTCTGCCTCTGATCTGCCCATTCTCTTTGCCTTATCGCCATGAATTCATGCTGAAACCTGAGAGGGAGATTTTAGTTGTGAAAAAATAGATGCTTGTGGAGAGTATTTGCCAACATTGAGGATATGTGGCAAGATAGAAACAGAACTGTGTAACCAGTGTTTGCTGAAATTTCATTAGATTGTTTTGTGAATGTGGAGTTCATGGAACAATATTGGCCAGTCATAAAAGTAGTTTTATTTTGTGCTAAAGTGAAGCTTGAAGATGGCTCTGGGGAGAAAATTCCGTTGAGTAAATAACTACAGAAATTAAAATCTGTAAGACTTCCGTATAAGATCTTTTCATGTGGGTGGGTTTGTCAGTTGATTGTTTTAACTTGTCATTCTAAAACAGAGTTGAGATGGCTCACTTATACGTATTTTCAGATGTGGAGACTTCCATGTTATGTCCATAATTTTCTCTTTTATTGACTACAGTTTCACCCACAAAAAAGCTTATAGCAGCTAGCTCCTTGAAAGGGCTTTGGCTATTTTGTATAGTCTTACTGGTTCTCTGTGCTGCCTTGTTGAGATTAAGGATCCAAGCTGTTAACTTCAGTGGTGTCTCCTGGTATTTTCCTTTGGTTGTGGATGGCTCAGATTTAAAATTAGTGTGTGTGTCTGTGATCCACAGGTGCTGGCGAGAGTGAGTCCATCTTAACACTAGTATTCTTTAACCTTAGACAGTGCATGTGTGAGCATCTCATTTCAAAGTGATAGGTACAAATACATTTTCTTATAGTAACAAAAATTCAGGTCATGAGCTAGTTAGTATACACTTCTTGATTTTTACTTCTTTTTTTAATAGACTTTACTTTTTAGAGCAGTTTTAGGTTCACAGCAAAATCGAGTGGAAAGTAGAGTTCCCATGTACCCCCATCCGTATATGCATAGCCACCTCCATTACCAACATCCCCCGACAGAGTGGTACATTTATTACAATCGATGAGCCTACACTGACACATCATCATCACCCAAAGTCCATAGTTTACATTAGGGTCACTCTTGGTGCTGTACATTTCTATGAGTTTGGGCAAATGTATAATGATGTATACCCATCATTATACTATCATACAGAGTATTTTCACTGCCCTGAAAATCCTCTGTGCTCTGCCTGTTCACTCCCCTGCCCCAACCCCTGGCAACCACCAATCTTTCCAGAGTGTCACATTGTGGAAGCCATGCAGTGCATAGCCTTTTCACGTTGGCTTCTTTCACTCAGTAATATGCACCTAAGTTTCCTCCATGTCTTTTCATGGCTTGATACTTCAGATTTTTACTTTTTGAAAAAAAAAATTCTTCATCCCAAACAGTTTTTTAACAAAAAATTCCAATTTTAGTGAAATTTTTTTATTATGGAAAAAAATTATGTTATACTACATATAAACATATGTAGTAAAGAGAATATTATAATGAACCCGATGTCCCCATCACCCCCCTCCAGCCATGCCAGTTCCTTTCCAGTTGTGTGATTTATACACCTAACCACTCCCCCTGTATTTTGAAGCTAATCACAGACATCACAGCATTGCATCTGTAAACATTTCAGTATGTATTCCTAAGTTACTTACAAAAAGAGAAAACCATAATACCATTGAATACCTAAAAAAATTTGACAGTAATTCCTTAATATCATTAAATCTCAAGGCGTGTCCTATTTCTATTAGTATGCATACAGAGGCATACATAAGTACATATATACATACATTTATGTTTAAGTGTATGTCTATTTTTCGGTTTATTTGAACCAGATTCCACGGAAGGCCTGCACATTGCAATTGGTTGGTAGATCTGTTATTTCTCTTATCTTGAGGTTTCCTCTCCTTTTTTTATCTTTCTTTAATTTTTTGTTGAAGAAATTGGATGCCTTCACCTATAGCGTCCCACGGTCTGGGTTTTGGTGATTTCATCCTCTTGTGTTGTTTAGGATGTCAGGCTGACCTCTGTGTTTCCTGCAAACTGGTAATCAGGATGACAGGTTTTCTCCGTCAAGTGTTGTTGTATGTGCTTCTGTTGAGGAGAGGCACACCTTCTCCAGAGGCAACGGAGGACCCCTGTCAGGATTACATCATTTCCTTTCTCTCTCTGAGTGATGTTTTTTTTTTTTTTTTTTTATAATTTTTATTTTTTATTTATTTTTATTTTTTCCCCCAAAGCCCCAGTAGATAGTTGTATGTCATAGCTGCACATCCTTCTAGTTGCTGTATGTGGGACTCGACCTCAGCATGGCCAGAAAAGTGGCGCGTAGGTGCGCGCCGGGGATCCGAAGCCGGCCGCCAGCAGCGGAGCGCGTGCACCTAACCACCAAGCCACGGGGCCGGCCCTCTCTGAGTGATGTTAATAGCTATTAATGAGGATGCCTCGATCCTTTAAATCATTAGGGCTGCCCAATGGCAACATTCTATTTCTGTCCATTCCTCCTTCCTACGTTAACTGGAATGCTTCGGTGAAGAGAAACTTTTCATTAACTGTTTGGTTGCCCCGGGTACGTTGTATAAGAAAGGCAGGATGAGATGGTTTTCAGTAAGATGATCCCTTCAGTCTTCCAGCAGTGACTGTTTTAAAAGTGTCGTTATGAATCATGGATGTAAATGTATGTGGTGTGGTTCGGTGCATCTGTGCTTGGTGGGAGTTTAGGCGGGTTGACTGCTGAGTGCTTTTCACACGACCCTAGAACTTGGAGAGCTCCCTTGCCTTCTGGTGTGACAGGGGTTCCAAGTTCGCTTTAGACGTTTCTCCAAGGACCCTGATGTTTAGAGGCCACAGTCTGGATGCTAGAGGTGCTAGCCGTCCGTTGTTTCCAGGCCTTTTCAGTAGACAGAGCTAGGAAGTAGGCATTTTTTAAAGATAAAATCCACTATGAGATCATACTGATGGAACAGGGCACTGACCCCATCCGTCTGCATACCTATCTCTTCTTTCACCCACACCGCAAATGAGTAAACCACCACCCCAACCTTTACCCCATCCTTTGACTCATTCCACAGGACACGGAACAGAATAACAATGCCAGCACTACTGTTCCCACAATCTAATTACTGAAAAAAGTTGGATTGTTTATAGTTCTTTTTGTCCTTAGGGTAGGGTATGTTTAACTCATTAGGAATGTGCAGTCACAGCACTGTGCCTTAAAGTCACTTAAAGTAGTTCCCCTCTGTGTGGTTATGTCACCAACTGGATATACAGTTAGATTAATTTGTTTCATGTTACTTTAGATTTTTAGAAATTGCCTTATTTTATGTTTTTACTATGTAAATATTTACAAGGTACTAAGTCAGCTGGATACAGCAAGGTGTATTCAAAGAGCTTATATCCTGTCTCCTTCACCTAGGCTCTCCTTCCCCCATAGGTAACCTTTATTTTTATGGCTATACTTTCATTTTTAAATAAAAAATACAAACATATGTAAATATTTGTATCTCCCTCTTTCGTGGGCTTTTTTACTTAATAGTGTATTATGGAGATCACTTCATAGTAAAACGTAGAGATATTCCTCATTCATTTTTGCAGCTCATCTACTCTGTTGTGTGGAGGTACCGTAGTTTATTCAGTCAGTCCCCTGTTGGTGTTGGTGGACATTTGGCTTTTTTCCAGTCTGATGGTATTAATAGGACTTATCTTTTTGTATTTTCCAGTGTATCTGTGGGAAAACTTTTGGGAAGTGGGATTCTTTTTTGGAGGGGTGGGGGGGTGGGGGAAGATTGGTCCTGAGCTAATATCTGTTTCCAATCTTCCTCTCTTTTTCCCTTTTTCTCCCCAAAGCCCCAGTACATAGTTGTATATCCTAGTTGTAGGTCCTTCTAGTTCTTCTATGTGGAACACCACCCCAGCATGGCTTGATGAGCAGTGCGTAGGTCCACGCCCAGGATCCGAACCGGTGAACCCTGGGCTGCCGAAGTGAAACACTCGAACTTAACAGCTATGCTGCTGCGCCAGCCCCTGGAGGTGGGGTTCTGAGTCAGAGTGTAGATGCATGTGAAAATTTGCTAGGTGTTGTCATATTCCCCTTGATGAAGGTCATCCCCAGCAATGGGTGACAGTGCCTGCTCCCCCTCAGCTTTGCCAACAGAGTAGAGTACGTTGACCAACTTCTGTGTTTTTACCAGTCTGGTACATGAGAAATGGTGTCTCAGTGTAGTTAATTGCATTTCTCCTATTATGAACAAGAACAAGACTGAACATTTTTCATACGTTTAAGAGCCATTTGCATTTCTTTTGATGGGAATTATCTGTTCTCTCTAGCCGTTTATTTTAGTGTTCTTTATATATTTGAGATAACTTGTCTGTTATGTGTTTCAAATATTTGTTTCCAGTTTTTACCATGCAAAAGCTTTTTCCAAACATTTCTAAATAATCCAATGTATTAACCTTTTTACTTCATTGCTTCTTCATTTTGAGTCATAGTTAGGGATGGGTTTTCCCCTCTTCCAGGTTATACACAAATTCAGCCTGTTTTCTGCCAGTGCTCATATGGTTTCATTTCTTAGGTTGAAGAGTGTAAGGAATGGATTCAATGTTATCTTATTCTATGTGGCTGCCCGTTATCCCAACAAACTGATTAAAGCTTCCATCTTTTCCTCACTGATTTAGGTGGCTGCCTTTAATGTACACTAAATTTCCTTATGCCCTTGGGTCTGTCTCTGGATTTCCTGTTTTGTTCCATCTGTCTGTAGGCCTGTTCATGCACCAATATCTAACTGTTTTAGTTTTAAAGACTTAAGTGAAAACATTTGACTCCAATATCCCTTTGTTGGCTTTAGTGTTAGGATTGAAGGGAAATAATAGTTAGTCATACTTAGGACTCATTTTCCCCCAGGCTTACACTGTAACTATGTGGACATCAGGCTAAATGAACCAACCCTCTTAATTATTGTTCTGCTTGTAATTGATACGATTATAAGCAAAGTGGAAGATCTCCTGTAAGCTCTCTTATACATTACCTATATGCAGATTCTGTATGTAACATAGTAATCACTACCATCATTATATGGCTTCAGAAATTAAGTTCAAATTACTATAATGGATGCATCTCCACCTTTAAATATATGAAAGCTACATATTTTCATTTTGCCAGCACTTTCTCCCTGAGGATCACACATGCCCATTCCCATGTGGTGAGAAATTGCTCTTAACTTTTTGCCTTAGTTTAAATTTTACTCTTCTAAGCAATACTTTGTTGAAAATTCCATAATTATTTTTGATTATTGTGACTTTAAACTCTATCCTTTGATAATGCTTCATGAAAAGTGAAGGCCCCCATCCTCCTCCCAGCTCAGATAAGGGGGTCCACTGATATTCAGAGGGGACACAATTGAAAATAATGGTTTTTAAAGGTGTACCATTTACAACTTTGTTATATTTGCATGTTGACAGTACTTGCACTGCTTTAATAAGATAGAAACAATAATTTATCACCTACTTAGCAAGAACATGATTAGCTGGTGGGTGTTCATAACAGTAGCCTCTGTTCCTAAGTGGATCTGTGGCCCCTTATAACTGTGTGGCCTGGACCCCCAGTTGCCAGTTATTGCTCTGCTCTTTTATTCTGGTGAAATACTCTGGTTTTCTTTCTGTGTGGAAGCCTTTCTTCTTGACCTCTGGCTCTGCCCTTTTCATTTCAAGAGCACTCATGTCAGGGCCTCTGCACTGCACAGTTCCTGGGGCGCCGATGCCCAGCCTTAAGCAGGTAGAAGCAGTGACCCTGATTTAATTCCAGGACAAGACTGCACAACGTCTTGGTGTCCTGTTCGTGTGAGAGTTGTGCTATACAGAACACGGTTATTTGACCCGAAATTCAGCAGAATCCTCAGGGTTGCTGTGTGCTTGCCCTTCACTAGTTTACGTTTTGCCAATCACCCGGGCGAAGGGGGTGTGCACCTGTGTCCCTTTAGGCTCTCTTTAGCTAGCTGGTTCTAAACGCGTGGAAAATTCAGGATAGTGCAAACCTAATGTCTTTCTCCAGAGCCCAGGCTCAGTAGCTTTGCACCTCATGTTCCTCTCCTTCAGCATTTTTTAATGCTGTTTGAGTACCTGGGCGTTAGAATTGTTGGGTTAATTCACACTTTAATTACGTCTTCTCTGTTACTGTAAAGCATTGTAAATGCCGGGCCCCGTGCCTTCAGTTTTGTGCATTGTGCCACCTCTGCAACACGACCAGACTGCCCTTATTATCCGCTCTCACCTTTTAGCTCTGAGTCATCTCGGTGTAGTTTTCCGCGTCTCCTCTGCTCTGGAACGAAATGAGAACAGGAGGCCTCACCAGCCTGGGGAGCTTGGTAGTGCTCTGCAGAAACGTGTTCTCTCCATCCTCTTGTATTCTGCTCTGGGGTCTCGTGTGCTCCGCGGATCAATTCCTCCCCTTCAGGAAGGGTGCTGTTACCCCTGAGAAAGCACTTGAACTCCAGGCCCCCCTCTCCCAGAAGTCTGACCTCCAGTTCCATGAAGGGCAGACATCGCCTCGTCACCAGCCCTGCGTCCTGACCCCTGTTTTGTTTTAGGCTCAGTCCTGTCCTGCTGACCCTGAGGCGAACAGTGCATGGTGGCCTTTGACTTCCCCTTCTCTTGCTCCCAGAGTCAGGTGCCAGGTTCCCTGATTCGCCTCTGGAATTAGCCCCCCTTCCTCTGTTGTACCCCTGGCCCTGGCCCCACCGAGGCCTCCTTCCTGGTGGCAGGCACCTACCTGGCCTCCCCTGTGTCTGGGTCTCTCCTTCCTTCCATGCACCCTTCACCCTCCGGCCAGGGGCCTTTCTAAAGCCCCTGGGAGCCTGTAGCATTCAGCTGGCGCTCCTCAGCCTGCCTTTCCTGGGCAGCGCTTCCTGCTCTGACCCTGACTTGACTTTCTACCCTCCCCGCCCCACACAGGGTTTGCCCTGTGCTGGGGACACATCCCCTCTTCCCTGCCTTCCCGGAGCCTCACCCGGCCTCGGGTGACGTTTTCCCCATGCGTGCCGTGTCTCTGAGCACTCAGCTCCCTCTGGACTTTTCCTCCCATCGGTGCCAGGAAAGCTTTTTACACCGTTCCTATGCCCTGGTTTTTCTCCTGTGTGGTAATTACTTGTGTGTTTTCTGTAACCCCTTCACCGCTGTGAGTTCCTAGAATGTGCCTCAGTTTGTCTCTTGATACCTAACTCGGTGCTCGATATGTAGTAAGCACTTAGCAAATGTTTATTGAATTTAAGTTGATGCTCAACATGCTAACTTATCATTTTTCTTTTTGTATGTACTCATTTAATAAAAGAGCTTTTTTTCTGTTCATGATGAGTTCACCCAGAGTCCTAACTCTTTTGGAGTATTATACTCAATTTTATGTTATTATTAAAAGTACCATGGTGACCATCCTTGTACTTATCAATTGGTGATAGATTTAAGAGTAGAATCACTGAATTAAAATGTAAGTATATATTCAGTTTTGTTAGATAATACCAAAACTGTTTCCTCACTCTGTACCAATGCTCAGTACTATCAGTCTATAACCTTGGCCAATCTGATGAGTAGAGGTTGGTTTTTTACTTTTTTCCTTTAAATTTGTGTTCCCCTGGTTACTAATGAGTGTGGAAATCTCTTCATGAATTTATTATCCATTTGCATTTGTCTTCTGTGAATTACTGATTCATACTCTATTTTTCTGTTGAGTTGTTGGTCTTTTTCATAATGATTTTTAGAGACTTTAAAGGGTCAAAGGGCAATACTTACGGGGAAAGAATGGTTCGTGTTAGGCAGTTGTGACTCCTTCGTGGGAAACGTGCACACACATACACTTTCTCTCACACACACGCTCATGAGGCTTATTGTCCTTTCATCTTGACAGAGTTTCAGCTGGTGCTGCTTCACGTGCCAGGAGCCAATATTTAAAGTGTTAATCAGGCCAAACAGGTGTTCCAAGCCCAGTGCCTTGCTGCAGGGAGGGCTCGGAGTATGGTAGGTGAGAGCAAGCCGTGTGCACATGTGTGGGATCCCCAGGGAACAGCCTGACTTAGAGGAGAAGAGCTCTGTTTGTACCTGATTGAGTTCAATACACATCAGTCTTTGTAACCACAGAGTATGTAGGAGGGTCAGTGATTTCATGGGTTTAGGAATTTTGCTCATATGATGTATTTGAGATACTTTCCATTCTTTTCATCTTAAAGTATCCTGCATCTCTCTCTCGCCCCCCCTTCTCGGTTGTGTGTAGTGAAAACTGTCTCCTGCAGCAGCATGTAATCGTTTGCAGGCAAGAGCATGCTGTTTTTAAAGGTGTTTTATGTCAACTACTTTAAGTTAAAATGGATTGACTTTACTTGGTGAATGTATTAATTTTCAGAAACTCCAGTATCTGTGGACTGTATACAGCTCGTTTGGAAATGGCTAGTTTAGTGCTTTATGTACAAGATAGATAAACTGTCATTTAATGTGGACGTTATTATTGACAAACACTTAACAGCAGTCTGTCTTGAATTGCAAAATTGGTTTTACCCCTGTCTTATGGAGTACGTGCATCCACAGTGAGAGTTCAGGTCTGAGCAGGACGGTTCCTGGTAGGACGCTGTGGAGCGTGCCTGGCACATAGGAGATGCTCAGGAAATATTCGCATGAATGTATTCACTATTATTGAATGGATGTATAAGGAAGGAAGAGCTGTGTCTTAGAGATGCAGACTGGTTGGAGGACTGGATATGAAAGAAAGCTTGCAAAGCTGAAATTGTTTGAAAGTAACTTTTTCCCCACATGTGGGGACATGTGCTTTATAAACCTTCATGTGGGTATATGTAAACATTTTTTTAACCTCATTTTTAATTGGAAGTAAATATAACATATTCGTTCTGAGAAAGGTAGTTCTCGTCACAAAAATAAAGTCCTGTAGGGTTCTCCTATTCCATTATCTTTCCTATCTTGACATGTAATGATGCGGGGGGTATTCTACCTCCAGACACATCTACAGAAAAAGACACGCCAGCGTGACCTGCAAGCCCCCCTGAGTCTTCCTCTTTTTCTAGGCATGTTCGCCACCGTCGCTGGGATATCGCAGAGGGCCCCTGTGCACTGGTCAGAGAACGTGGTCGGGGCGGCCGTCTGCTTCCCCTACGTCATTGCGCTCGATGAGGAGTTCATCACGGTGCACAGCATGTTGGATCAGCAGCAAAAGCAGACCCTGCCCTTTAAGGAAGGCCACATTCTACAGGATTTTGAAGGTACTGGTTTACACAGAAGTCTTCACGAGGTTTGGTTATCGACCCTTTCATGATGATATTTCTTCAGTAAATGTTCGTAAGGGCCCGTTAGGAACTGGGCCTTTTGCTAAGCGTAGAAGATACACAGGTGATGGTAATACAGTCTGTGCTTCAGGAGCTCCAGGGTTAATGGGGAGACAGACATTTAAACAGATAGCTCCAGCAGTTTAGATAGAAACAAAATAAGGCCAATTGGGAGAGCAAAGGAGGAAGTATTTCCTAGAAATATGAGGGAGGGCTTCCTGAAGGAAGTGATATCTGAGTCAAACCTTTAAGGATGAGTAGGAGTCAGCCAAGCAGATGTGGGAGATAACCTTCAGGTAGAGAGAAAGGTGTGGCAGATCTGCACAAGAGGGACCCCTGGGCTTCAGGCCACGCGGGCAGTTCAGTGTGACTGTCGTGCACGGTGTGTGAGGAGGGAGGGCGTGAGATGAGGCTGCAGCAGACCAGGGCAGTCAGGGAGGGACTTCCTCTTGTGTGCATCGGTGAGCCAGGAGAGGGATTTATTCTGCTTTTCCTAAAATTATGAATGTATTCAAATGTACTGAAAAGTTGAAAGAAAAAGTGAACCCCCATACACCAGTCACCTAGGTTCAACACATGTTAATGTTTTGCTGAGCCATTGTAAGGTAAGTTGAAGATGTTATGCTTAATCCAAAATACTTCAGCCAGCATCTCCTAAGAATAAGGGCATTTTGCTACATAACCACAAAGCTATTTTCACACCTTAGAAAATGAACTCTAATGTCCTACCCATGTTCAAGTTTCCCAAGTTGTCCTAAGGATGCCTTTTATGATATTTTCTTCAAATTAGGAACTAATCTAGATTTATACATTGGATTTGCTATTTAAGGATTTTAGCTCACCAACCATCGCCCTTCCTGTTTGAGATGCTGGGGATAGAAACTCACTAAGACTCACAGCGCCCACATTAAGCACATCAGATTCCAGTTGGGGGCCCTGACACACGCACTGGGGGAGCATATTTCATAACAGTGTTACAGTGAGTGCTGGCGGGGGCACAGCAGTCATGGGCATATGGAGGCTGATGACATGACCCACCCTCCGTGGAACAAGGGAAGGCTTCCTGGAGAAAGGGACACCAGCACAGAGGAGGGACAGAATCTCATCTGAGATGAGAAACATTACTTTGGTTGTGATTTAGAAGACAGGTAGTTTAGACCAGGGAGCAGATTAGGAAGACCAGGATGGAAGATGGGTCAAGGGTGCAGGCAAGAAAGCATGAGGGCTCCTGTTAAACCAGTCACTGGGACTGGAGGGGAAATGAAGGATGCCAGGAGAGAAGAGCAGAGGGAGCAGGAAAGGCTTGGCTGACACTAATAATCCTTCAGATGCAACGAAAAGAACGTTGCACTGCTTCCTGTGAACAGGTCCTAGTGAGTTTAAAAGGTGTCTCCAGAAGGGAGCAGAACTCACTTTAAGAGCTGCGTAGGAGGAGCTCGTCTTGGATTGCGGTTCTGACTCTTGAGGGGCCCGCCTGTGCCAGGTCTCACAGGTGGAGTGAGGACGGCCGTGTTGGCCACAGGTCAGTTAACTCAGGACTGTGGGGAAATGAACACGGTAACGCCACGACTTGGGTGTATTTGGATGAGTATGAGGTGTTATCTCATGGTTCAGAATGCTGCATTGTAATCTTAGTTTCCTGTGAGCTAACGTGGAGAGAAAAGAATTTTTAAAAATTTGATATGAGGTATATCATAATTCTTATAGATAATGTTCCATAATTGATCTCTACAACCTCATTGGAACTATACATTATGTATCTACCCAACTGATTTGGAATTTATCAGCACTTTCGAAGAAAAAAAGGCAAAAAAGCATATTTTATACTTTGGAAATGTAGTACTAAGTGTTCAGCCTTTTCTGACAGTTGACACTATGGGAAGAAGAAAAGAGAAGCATTGTAATTTATAATTTCTGTAGGAATTCTATGTTGGGAAAACTATGATGAAATTAATCAGCAAATCAGATAACAATCCTGTTTTGGGGCAGCAGTATGCTTTCTTGCAGGCAATATGTTCTCTCCTTTTCCAACGGTGTTGAATTTCTTCCCAGGAAGAGTGATTGTCGCCACAAGTAAGGGAGTTTACATCTTGGTTCCATTACCTCTGGAAAAACAAATACAGGATCTTCTAGCAAGCCGTAGAGTGGAAGAGGCTTTGATTTTAGCGAAAGGAGCCCGGAGGAACATTCCAAAAGAAAAATTTCAGGTTTGTAATTAGCTGATCACAAGAAAGCATGCCTCCAGGCCACCAGTTAGCAAACATTCGGATCTAACTAAGCTACTTCGGCCCTCCCTGTGTGGCAGACCTTGCAGATTGCTGTGGTATCTGTTATTTAATTTTCTCAGCACATGCACATGTGCAGATAAGGAAACAGGTTGCAGAGCAGTTGAGCAGCTGAACTGAGATTGCCCTGCTAGCAGAGGCGAAGTCAGATTTTGAACCTCTGATTAATTGCCGTGCTTAATATCCCGAGTTGTACTTCTTATCAACTGTCTTCTTCATTGCACCTTCAGAGAAGAACCAGGGGCATAGTCAGAGAAGAACCAGGGGCATAGTTCTAATAAACCAAAAGAATAATGTCAGGTTAATCTCTCTCCTAATTTAGAATTTGTATTTATTGGGATGGGGTTGAATTTTAAAAGTTTAGATTTATATTATCTACAGGAAAAGCTTTGTTACCCATACTGATAAACTCTCTAACGTTGCAGGAATCCTTCTAATTAATTTCCTTAGGAGAAAACCTTTAATGCACGTAAGAAACACTAACTTTAATATAGTTGGTATGATAAATATGATTGATATAATAATCACAAATTATTCTTATGCCCGATGAAATCAGGTTCCCTAAAAATTGCTTTGATCAGTTATTAGGTTAGTTCAGGTTACTCTATGTATTTGAGAGTAATAAAACATAATATCGGTGTGTGTACACTTCATATGAATATCTAAATCGGTCATTAAATGTTCTCATGAGTTAATAAGGATCCCCCTGATTGTTACCCATCAGGCAGATTTTCCCATGACTCTGTGATTGTTGTGGGGTGAAGTGATGCTTTTTGGCCTCAGTTGCTTTATGCTGCAAAGGGTAGGCTCTGAAAGTGAGAGAAGACAGGCTGTGTAATTTATGGTTATGGGATATGAAAGAGGGTATCTTTTCTGTATTTAAATATTGATGAACTTTTCATCTTTGTTTCTAATTTTTTAAAGTAAGACTGATCTGTTAGCGTTCAGCAGGGGGCAGCAAAAGCAAAAAGAAGAAAGCGCCTGTTTGTCCAGGGCCGGGCACTGGGCTGAGAGCACTGCTTCTGCAGGGTTTACTCACCCCTCCCCGGGTGCGGCCGTGCCAAGAAGGGTGCGGGATCGACCACCTCTGCCACACGGGCTCCCGGATCCTTCTCTCTCCTATGAGTGGGGCCCGCGAGCTGCCGTCTGTGGATATCTTGGATGTCTGGGCGAGCCACGTGTTGGCGTGCCCCCTCCTTGCACACACATGTGCACACTTTTAAGTGTGTAACATTTTCTTAAAGAGGCTTTCACATTCTTTGTGTGAGTTTTGCTTTTTCTCCCCTTTTTGCCAAGAGTAGAGAAATGCAGTCAATATTAGACAATATCAATAGTCATCTTGTTCTCTAATCTGCTGTCTCAGTTGGAGATTTTTCCTTTCTAACATGCTCCCTGCCTTCTCCCTGTTGCTCCAAATTCGTACATCCAGCCCTGAAAATACACCCTCAGAATGATCTTAAGTTCAGCCCTTTCTTAGAGCCTGTCGTTACTGCTGGTGTGCAGACCCTTCTCCTATTTTGCCTGAATTATTTTAACAGCCTCATTCCTGTGTGTCTGTAGTCCATCCTCCTCGCCACTACAGGCATGGAGGGTGCAGATTAGAGAACAAGAATGATCTTTCTAAATATAGACCAAATCCTGTGCTTTAAATACTTCAGTGGGTGCCTCGTTGCCCGAGGTAAAGTGCAGACCCTCAAGCACTGCGTGTTCTGGCCCAGCCCACCTCTGTGGCCTCGTCTTCTGCTGCCCTCTGCCACTCCTATGGAACATGCCTGAACCCTACATTCCCGCCTCAAAGGATGGAGGACAAAGGGAACTAACTGTGATCGAGCCCTACAATATGCAAGCCCTCTGCAAGGCATTTTAAAACATCTTTGATCCTAAAAACAATTCGGAAATAAGCGGTACCACTATCTGAACACACTGAAGACATGGCAGCTTAGCTCGTTTTCCCTCTGGACACATGGTTGGTACAGGAGGGCCAGCCCTCTAGGATGGTGCCCTTTGCCCCGCGTGCCTTGCCCCTCCCCCCCGCCCCCCCCATTTAGCAGAACATGCTGTGCGTTTCACAAGCCTCTGCCCTCTCCCTTTTCTTTACTTGTTACTTATGTTAGTTCTGGTACTGGACTGTGCTTCCCTACTTGATAAAATACTATTTCAGTACCTTGCTTAAATATGTCCTCTTTCTGAATCATTTCCCTTCCTCCAGGCAGGGCTAATAACTCCTCTGTGCTTCTGCGTTATATATGTTACATTTAACACACATCCGTTTACTCCTCAGCTCCCAGCATTCCCTCCCTGAGTTCCTAGGTAGACTCCTCCCTCCTTCTATTGTTCACACCCAGCTCATCCCTGGGCTGAAATACGAAGGAATGGATGAATGGGTAACTCAGAGCTTTGAACTGCTCTTCAAACAGAGCTGCGGTGTAATGAATTGTGAAGCAGAAGGTTTTTGTTTAAAATAGAACCATAAGAGAAAAATAAGGCAATATTGAAAAAAAGGCTTGAAGATGACTTTTCCTGAATGTGTATGTGTTTTTAAGGATTAGATGTGACTCTTACAATAATTAGGTACATTACTTATTTTAATTTTAGAATGCTTGCAACCAAATGCTAGACTCTAGGCCTAGAGAAACCAGAAAGGGAGAGGAAGAGAGACCAGAAGTTCAGAAGCCTGGGTCTTTACCATTTCACTCCTTTCTCTTCATTTAAAAATAAGTATTGGTTTTGCTTCACTGAGTTCTGGACTTGGTTGTTATTGTGGTTGAGCCAATTCTGATTCTTAGCAACCCTGTGTCCAGCAGAGCGGAACCCTGCCATGTCTTTTTGCACCATCCTCTCACCTTCCGGCGCTACATCAGACAGTGCTCTGCTGCTATTCATGGGGTTTTCTTGGCCAATTTTTTCGGAGGTGGGTGGCCAGGTCCTTCTTCCTAGTCTGTCTAGTCTGGAAGCTCCACTGAAACCCATCCATCATGGGTGACCCTGCTGGTATCTGAAATACTAGTGGCATAGCTTTCAGCATCCCAGCCACACGCAGCCGCCACAGTATGACAACCCACAGATGGTGATGTGGTTCCCTGACCAGGAAATGAACCCAGGTCATGGTGGTGAGAGCACCGAATCTTAACCACTAGATCATCAAGGCTGGCTGGTTCTGAACTAGTGAAGGATTTATCAAAAAGTTTAACTGTGGGACTAGGATTAAAGGAATATTTCTTCTAGAGATCCAAAAGGGTCAGAGAGCTGTTTAGAACTTGAGGAAAGCAGGCTTAAATTATATTAAGGTTTAGGATGCTATAAAAAAAGAGGCAGCAAGGAGACAGCTTGCTTTACAGACAAAGGTTTGTGTTAAGAAAAATTCTTGATTTGTATCAGGTATTGTGGATGATATTCATATTTAAGCTTGAACTCTGATAATTTTGATTCTATTTCATCTGAAAATATTTCAGTATTTATCTTTAAAAGACAAAGATGCCCCCTTTTAAATGTAACCACAGTACCATCAACATCACTCCCCCAAATCAACACCAATTCTTTCATATCCCGGAGCATCCCATAGTGTTCCCATTTCCCCAGTTGTCCAATACATGTGTGTGTCTTGGCGTTCTTCTTATCCTTAGGGAAAATCCTGCCAGGATTGGAGAGTCCAGTTACTCTGTTTTTAGAGTCACTTGGGATAGTTCTCTGTGTAGTTCTGCCACCAATGCTTCTATATAAATTATTAGGTTCATTTGTTTCATTTGACTTTTGTTTTATAGGGATTGCTTTTTAAAATTTAATTCTTTTATAATTACGTAAAATATTAGCATAGTTCAAAAGTCAAATCAACACAACGAAGTGTCTTCACGGAAGTCCACCTTCTTTTTCTCCCTTTACCGCATGTTTTCTCCCCCCTCCTTCCTTCCTCTCTGTCTGTCTTTTGGTGTGAGGGTTGGTATGTTTGTTTTAATGATAACCTTAATAGTATTAACTTTACAAAAGTCCTTTGGTTTTCTCTTTTTGCTGGGGGGGAGGGTCTTATTGTCTGGTGGGTCCCCACTTTGAGCAATATTTGAAATTAGCAAATGACCTCTTCGTCACCTTTCCCAGCATCTGTGTTAACGTGATATCCCTTTATTCCAGGTTAATTCCTGTAGGCAGTCTGCACACATGCTGTACTTTTTGTGGCATCTCCCCACTCTCCCCTGTCTTTTTTTTGTGAGGACGATCAGCCCTGAGCTAACATCCATGCCAATCCTCCTCTTTTTGCTGAGGAAGACTGGCCCTGGGCTAACATCTATTGCCAGTCCTCCTTTTTTTCCCTTTTTCTCCCCAAAGCCCCAGTAAATAGTTGTATGTCATTGTATGTCATAGTTGTACATCCTTCTTAGTTGCTGTATGTGGGACGCGGCCTCAGCAGGGCCAGAGAAGTGGTGTGTCGGTGCACGCCCGGGATCCGAACCCGGGCCGCCAGTAGCGGAGCGCGCGCACTTAACCGCCAAGCCACGGGGCCGGCCCCATCTCCCCTGTTTTTTGATGGTTATATTGTCTCTGCTTTTTCAGAGCGTATAGCCGTCACATGCTACACTTCCTCCTTTTGTCTGTTCGTCTCAGTTCTGTGTTGAATTTGGGTGGATTACTCTGCAGTCGTGTGGTTTTCTGAAGCCGTCCTCTGGCAGATATTTCAGGAGGGGCGTATGGGAACGCTATCCTGAGCTTCTGCATGTTGGGAACAGTTCACCTGCAGCCTCTAGACTGGAAGGCCAGTTGGGCTGGATCTAAAATCTTGGACTCACATTTTCTTTCATTGAGAAACTTAAGTAACTTCCACCATTATCTTTTGGCATAAAGCATCGACAGTGAAAAATCTGATGACAATCTGAATTTCTTTCCCTTATAGTGAATTGGTGTTTTTGCTTAAATACCCAAAGGATTTTTTCTTTTTCTTTAGAGTCCAGTATCTTAGGGTTAGTACTTACTGGAAAACTGGAGCCTGTGAAGTCCCCTCAACTTTCCTCTGCTGTTCTCAACGGCCTGCCATGTTTCCTGGTGGTTCCTGATGGCAGTTTAGGGACTCTGGCTTTCGTGGCCTCAATGCCACTTTTCCCTTCTCCACTTCTTCCCATAGTCTCTGATACCACCCATGTCCTGGAGTTGGGGATTTTTTCCAGGGGCTCATACTTTCATGTTTGTGGGCATGCCTTGTCACCAGTATCGTAATAAATGTGGTCAGTGAGTTTTTGGTTTTGCTATCCCAATTGTTCTGTTTGGTTTTTTTTACTTATGGTAAAATACACATAACATAAAATTTACCATTTTAACTGTTTTTAAGTGTACAGTTGAGCAGCGTTAAGTACATTTGCAATGTTGTGCAACCGTCACCACTATCCATTTCCAGAATGTTTTTTATCACCCCAAATATAAACTGTGTACCGATCGGACAACTCCCGTACCCCCTCTCCCCAACCCGTGCTAACCGCCATTCTACTTTCTGTCTCTATGAATTTGATGTCTTTAGGTCCCTCATGTAAGTGCAATCATACAGTGTCTTTTTGTGATTGGTTTATTTCACTTTGCATAATGTCTGCAAGGTTCTTCCATGTCGCAGTGTGTGTCGGAATTTCCTTCCTTTTTAAGGCTGAATAATATCCCATTTGTTGGAGAAGGTTGTGTTTCATTTAGGCAGTGCATGTTATGGAGGAGCTGTAAAACAAGGTACATTTTGAATTTAGTGCTAGGAAGAACTGTTCTCTTCAGAAGCTCTTGTGTGATATTTAATACAGCCTTGAAAGCAGATTTAGAAATCTCTAGAATAGAATCTTCTGTTTCACAAAATTTTTAGTGCCCCAAATCATAGAAGTTAGAAATCTCAATTCAGAAGTATTTAACTATTATAGTATTATAACTAATAACATGGGTTTTGACTTCAGTTTCATCTTGCTCCCAGAATACATGCGACCTCGTAAGCCTGGCTTGTATTGGGCCCTCAACCTTCGTACAGAGTAGACATTGAGTGGCACTGCTTACAGATGTGTTTTGCTAATTCACTCTCTTCACCTGCTGTTCTGATAGCTGCCTTGTTCTGAAGGACAAGCTAGTAATGTAGAAAGAAAGCTGAAGACTCCATTGTGGAGTTAGCTCCAGTGTTGGGGAGATAAACAGACTCCCTTGTTCTCTGTCCTCCCCTTGTAGTCATCCTTCTAGTCCTTTTCCTGCCAGCCTACCTGGCTCCAGGTTTTATAAAAGTTCAGCATCACCTGAGCAGAGAGCAGGAGCTGTCAGTCTTGGTGGACAATCTCGAAAGGAGGCAGTCACTTTCAGAGAACCAAGAATTGGCTGAGCTTGGTAAAGTTTCAGATCCGTGTTTCAGGTCAGGTTACGTGGCGTTCTCTGTATCATCCACGGTTTCAGCATCCAGTGCTTATATCCAGGACGAAGGAATCTCTCTGCATGCCTCTTCCAAATCTACATATAGCGTTCCCAGACTAGAATACAGAAAATAACCCACCTGTGCTTAGAGATTGAGAGTGTTAGCAAAAGTAGTTTTCATTTCTCTTTAGGAAGAGGAAGACTAGATGACATTTGAATCCTGCAGCTACGAGGAATAAATTGGCGTTTAGCTGATCTCTCATCCAGCATGCTGGGTGTGATTGAGAATTCTTCTACCACAGCTGATGGCCCTTTTTTCCTTTTTGCTAAGTGGATGGCCTCTCTTATTTCTGCTTTCAGAAATGAACTGGCATTCCCATGCAACAGAACCGTGACCTGCTCCTGTCTGCTTCTTGTTGGGTGGTGTAAATAGGCCGGTTTTTAGGTCAGAAATGGCTGGTGTCAGGGAAGAAAGATGAAGGCAGGTGATGAGAAGAGGCATGAAAAAGCAGCCTGCCTTTTCTGACATCTCTACAGGAATTTCCATGGGGACGGGGAGGAACTGTTGTGTGCTTTTGAGAACTCTCTAATACTAGAGCAAAAGCACGTTTTAAAGCTGATTTGAGGGAGCAGGAGTGATAGCCTGTAGATCCCGACCGTCTCCACCCACCTCCTTTCTTCAGCAGGTGCCAGCGATAACTGCCTGCTGTGTACCTGGAGGAATCAGTGGGTGGAAGGAATTGGGCTCTAGAATCAGAAAGATCTAGTTTTAAATCCTGGCTCAGCCACTTATTACTTTAGTAACTTTGGGCTAAAAACTTAATATCTCTGAGCAGAATGTTCCTATCTGTAAAATGGGGATAGTGAGTGACAATGAACGTAGACGTTCATAAAAATTGATCAGCTAGTTCTTCAGGTCAATAAGCACTTACTAAATAGCAGATACTATGCTAAGGGTGTGGGGATACTAAGATGAATAATGTGTGTACCTTGCCTTCAAGGAATTTATGGCTTATAAAACAGCATGATGGGGGCTGGCCTGGTGGCGTGGTGGTTAAGTTTGTGTACTCCGCTTTGGCAGCCCGGAATTCAGGGGTTCAGATCCTAGGCACGGACCTGCGTACAGCTCATCAAGCCATGCTGTGGCAGCGTCCCACATACAAAATAAAGGAAGATAGGCACAGATGTTAGCTCAGGGCCGATCTTCCTCAAGCAAAAAGAGGAAGTTTGGTGACAGTTGATAGCTCAGGGCCATTCTTCACCAGAAAAAAAATAAATAAACCTAGCATGATGGATTGGAAGGAGGAGGAATTAAGAAGTCACAGAGTCTTAAACACAATTAGAGTCTTTAATTGTGAGGTGATGAGGGCCTGGGCACTGATGATGGAACCAGTAAGAACAGAGTGAAGAGACGTGTCCAACAGCTATTTCAAACAAAGGATGGACAAAACTTGAAAACTGACCCGATTGGGCAGTGACAGGGAGGCGGTGAAAGTAAAGACACCACAAGACAACTTCCTAAAGTGTTTGGGGAGTACTGGATTAAACAAAGATAAACCGGCACCTTTTTGGAGGAACTCCCAGACTGTAATGTTAGTGTGGGCTGTGCATCACCAGGAGGAGACAGAATGCACAGCGTTTCCCGTGTTGGCTAGGAAAGCCTATTGATTTATTAAATGGGATTGGCCTGGTGCTCTGAGGGGTGCTCAGAAGTGCTGCTGTGAGGTGTCAATTCCAGAAGAGTGGAAGAAGGATGAGCTGCTGCTAGACTGCCAGAAACACCAGAGGTGTTACTATCCATCTGAGCAACTGGAAGTTAAAATAGGAGCAGTCATTGAAGCCCTGCGAATTAATGAGGAGAGAATAGAAGATAAGGAATGTATTTGGGAAGGATTGGGATTTATGAAAAAAATCCATGAAGGAGAAGGAAGAATAGTTAAATAGAGAACAACTTTATTTCAAGAATGAGGGGTTGATCGACATATGTGTATATGTATATGCTGAAAATAATTTTGTGTATGCCTTGCTTTTTCCTTACCTTGTAATTTCAAATTTCTATGTAATAGAAATTAGAAATAGAAATTTCTCCTTACAGTAATGATTTTAAGGTATCTCTAAGAGTCTAAACCTGTCTTTCGTTGCAGGTAATGTACAGAAGGATTCTGCAGCAGGCGGGGTTCATACAGTTTGCACAACTCCAGTTCCTGGAGGCGAAAGAGCTCTTCAGGTAATTTGAGGTGTTGGTAGCAAGACTTCAAGTGTCCCTCTGTGGTCAGAGTCCTCTTCAGCTGTGACGCTGTGGTGGGAAGTGCAGCCGCCATTAGACTGGGCTTCAGGGAGAAACGACAAGGCCCGTGTCTACTATCAGACATCACCCATTCTCATTCCCGGACTCCCCCACCCTCAGCCGGAGTTCAGCTGTCCTGTATCTTGAAAAGAGTGGGGCTGCTGAGGGGCGCGCATCGTAGTCCTGTGAGGAGAGGAGGAGGGAATTCTGAAGAGTGAACTTGGTAACATGTGAAGGATTCCTAGGGAAATACTATTGCTCACTTTTTCTTTTCTCCAGAGATTTTATAAGAAGCTATGAGTTTAGGAAAGCAGCAGGTGCTTCTGGGATGACTCATGAAAACTATTCTTCTGAAAACTTTTTAAATGGCATGTTCCTGGTTAGCTCTCTCAGAAAGTAGAGTTTCTGTTATGAGGGTCCCTTCTGGCATTGTGATTCATCCTGTACCCCGTGGGCCAGCTCCCACTACCCCCCACGCCTGTCCCACCTGCACACCTTCACTGTCACATCCACATTCCTCTCAGGCTGGTGGGCTCAGTGAGGCAGTGGTTGTTGACGTGCTCACTCAGCACTCCTTACAGAAGATTAGCTTAAACCTGAAATGATGGTCTTTAAATATCCTACTAAAGTATTGCCTATAGATTAAGTTTTCAAAATGTCTAACTAGATTCTGCACAGTTCAGAGCCACCTAAGAGATAAGATACATACGAAGCCTCCAAGTAGATCCTTTCATCTAGGTAACGACAAGCAGGAAGACTCTCTGAGGCACGCTGTCTACCACCTGTTCTGTGGGATGTTTGCAGTACAACCCAGGCCGCATTTACACCCAAAGTGGCTCTGGTCTCCTGTCCTGTCACAAAATTGGTTGTAGAGAAGAGATTTCTGAGTAAAGAAGGAATCACCTATTGAATAGTGATGTTCTCTGTAACTTTCACTTATGTAAATTCTGTGTGCTGTTCTCATCTGTTCCTGGAAAGATCAGTAGCTTTGGGGTTTAAATATATTCTTTGCCCCTTTGGACCTAGACTCTTCTCTGTCCTATCTTGTTTTATCCGTCCAATGTGGAAGACCTCTTCAACTGGGTCATGGGTGCCTCCCATTACATCCTTTTCTGATGGATTAATTCAAAACACTAGGTAAACGGCCACAGCTGCATTCCTAGGAAAGGTCACTGATTTTGTAGGAAAATAAGTGTAGAGCCTGTCAGTCATGAGTTCAAGCTTCCTGCACTTCATACTTCAGCCTCTCAATAGCTCAACTTGAAATTGCCTGCTGCTCAGCTCGTCTCAAAAGTGTGACTGAGCAAGTTGATACTTGAAGAAGACACTCCTAGACAAGGACGATTCCACTTCCCCTTCCTGTGCCCACAGCAAACGTTGCTAATAACTCAGCATTGTTTTTTCTCATTGATCTGAGACTTGTCCTCAGATTCCTCCTCAGTTCAGTGCTAATCATGGTTGGCGCCTAAGATAGAAACTGTTTATCGTTCATGTCGTGGGGACCTATGCTAGATGTTGTGCAGCCTGTCCTTGTACCCGGTCACCGTCAGCACTTCTTGCGTTTAGCGAACTTGGCCTAAGCGTCAGAGCTAGGATGAAAGGGTGAGAGAGCGCCCTGCTCTCGTGGCGTGCCCACACTAGTTCGGAAGATGGATGTGTCCCTGTCGTACGGCGTGGGTGCCGCTCTGCAGTGTGAGTGGAGTGCTGTGGGAGCATTGCAGAGCGTGACTTACATCGGGATTTGTCCTGGACCGTAAATGATGAGCAGAAATTTCCCAAATTGAGAATCGTACTTTAGGCAAGGATTTTTCAACTAGGGCACTGTTGACATTTTGGGCTGGGTAATTCCTTGTTGTGGGGGCTTTCTCCTGCGTGGTAGGATGTGTAGCTGCAGTCCTGGCCTCTACCCGCTAGGTGCCAACAGCACCCTCCAGTCATGACAGAATGTCTCCAGACATTGCCAGATGTCCCCCAGGGAGCAAAACTGCTTCCTGTTGAGAACCACTGCTTCAGGCAGAGGCAACAGCAAAGGCTAAGAGGTATGAAATGTAGCAACTGGCAAAATAATGAGGGAGAGTTCAGTGTTGGTGCGTGGAGGGATGGTTGACGCTGAAGTTGTAAGGTGTTTTGGGATCAGTTTAGAAAGGGTCTCGAATGCCAGGCTAAGAGGCTTGAAAGGTATCTTGTGAGTAGTACAGAACCACTGAGGGTCAGGAGAGGGCGAAGATGGAGAGAGCAGAGTGGAAGGAAGGAGACCAGAGGCAGGAAGCCAGGCGAGTGGAGGAGAGACGATCAGAGCTTGAAGGAAGGCAGTGGCCGTCACAGAAAGTATAGATCCTGGGTCCTCCCTCAGAGGTTCCCACTCAGTGTGTCTGGGGTCGGGCCGCTGCTTCTGTTTCCTCCAGAGATGTCCCACAGGTGGATCTGGTGCTGGGCCAGGGTTGCGGTCCACAGCTAAGGGATGCCACCATTAACTTACCATGGTAGACAGGATGAGCAGGCTGGAGGGGAGGAGGTGGGAAAGGGACCAACAGTGAATTAGAGATGGAACCTCACTCCATATGGCTTCCTGGGCCTTACAAGCTTCGGACACTACGCTGGCCACTGAGTTGCATCCTAATGTTAGGCTCTGAAACACTAACGAGAGTCACCACAGAAATAGCCACGTGAATGCTTCTCTGTCTTCTGTTGTAAGATCATTGATGAGGAAATCGTAAGTTATGTTCTTGTAAAGTCCCTCCTTTGTGGACCATTCAACAAATTCGTTTGTAATTTAGTGGTTTCAGAAGGACCGTCCTCGGCCTGTGATCAGACGGTGATGCTTTGTTTCCTGTGTGTGCTGTCTTCGCCCTGGTTTCCGGGGAGTCTGTGCTAGCTCGGTGTTCAGCTCGCCTCAGGCGTTTCGATACTCCGCTGCCACGCTGGTCGTGTGCGTGTCTTTCTCCGTGGTCCCCTCTGGTCTTTCTGGAAGCAAGTGGTGGCACACAGCTCAGTAGTGCTTTGCTGCACTTGCAAATTAGGACAGTTGCTCTGCCGTGTTTACCCGCATATCCAGCTCCCCATTAGCATGTGCAGACATGCACACCCCTCCAGTGTTGTTTTGTGTGCCTATGTGTACTCTTTCTTTCTTTTTGCTTCATTTAGTTTGACACTGTAATTGCAGAAGCAGCCAGCTTGATGTCCGGGAGCTGATCTCTCTCTACCCCTTCCTGTTGCCCGCCTCCTCTTCATTCACACGGTCTCACCCTCCTCTCCACGAGTATGCAGACCTGAACCAGCTGACCCAAGGGGACCAGGAGAAGATGGCCAAGTGCAAGCGCTTCCTCATGAGCTACTTGAACGAAGTCCGCAGCACAGAGGTGGCCAATGGCTACAAAGAGGACATTGACACAGCCTTGCTCAAGCTGTACGCGGAGGCCGACCATGACAGTCTGCTGGACCTCCTGGTCACTGAGAACTTCTGTCTCCTGACAGACAGCGCTGCCTGGCTAGAGAAGCACAAAAAGTGAGTGTTCTCTTTCCGGATGCAGCCAGGGGCTTCGTGCCTAGCCCCTCCCCACCCAGTGGGGAGACTGTTGTGAAGCTGAGGTAGCCAGTGTGATGTGTGAGTTCCCAAGAGATTCATCAAGTGACAACCTTGAAATCATGGTGACAGCCCGGCGCCCTCAGGTTATATCACCTTGTCGTGGTCTGCAGACCAACTGAAGGGGTCTTGGAGGGCATTAACTCTCAGACCATTTCTTCAGTGATAGAGAATACAGTTTAGACCTAGGCATAGGCCTTGTTAGTAAATGAAGTGATTCTTAATCTTCCTCCGTATTCCATCTAGGATTGACCTGTGGAAGATGCCACGTGTATGTTGGTAAAATTAATCATGCAGTTTACTCATTGATGAGTAGATTGAATGGATAGATAGACTTCAGGATAAATAGATAAAAAGGGAGGCTTCTTGATAAAAGGTTATGGCTTAAAACTCTGCCTTCATTATGTGCGTGAGTTGGTAGGCAGCCACCCCACTACTTTATGCACAAGGGCGGCTTGTCTGTAGTGACTGACTAGATAAGAGCCAGCATCTTCTTCATCCTGGGCAGATGGTCAAGTCGTATGACCCTTCTAGGCCTCAGGGGTTTTTTCTTTAAAAATGAGGGGGGTTGGGTGATCCCTGAACTCCACTAGGCAATAGGACTCTTTGTCTGTGATTTTTATTATGTATTTGAAATGGGAAAAGTACTGATGAAACCCCATGGAGACTGCGGGGGTTCCAGTGCACAATCCTGTTCAGATGCCGTGACAATACAGGCTTGTGATTGGTCTTCATGAGGGTTTTGGCTCTCTTAGCAGTTTCCCTCAGTTTCAAGCACACTGTGAAATGGAGTTATTTTGTTTAGGAACCAAAAAATACACTCATGTCTCTTGGTAGTGACTTGGGATGGTAGAGTCCGGAGAGTAAGTGTAACTTGCTGAAAGATTAAAGAAAAGAGAAGGGTTCCTGCAAATAGTTCAATATCTTGAGAGTTTGCTTTCTAAGGGAAGAGATCTGACCTCCCCGTAGATCAGCTTGCCCCAGTCACCTGCTGGGGAGGAGGAGGACCGGGGGCGGGGCCCACCTGCAGAACTTGGGGAGGGCGGGAACGGCTCACTGCCCAGGCGATGCCAATGTTATTGCACATCCTTCCCCTTATAACTGAGGAAATGGAGGGCCAGGGAAGGTAATCAACTTGCTCGAGGTCATACAGTCCATTAGTAGTGAAGCCCATATTGAAACTCGGGTCCTTGAACTCTGGATGCCCTCCCCAGGACTCTCCCTGACTCTCTGTTCTCTGTGATGCCTGGATTCTGTTGGCCTTTGTTGCTGTTCATACTCAGACTCCTTACCCTCTCTTTCCATAATGACTCAGATAGCATACCTTCCGAATATTCATTTAACACCTTGTGATGGGTTAATAATGGTTAGCTGAAGAGGTATGAAACAGTTTAAATTAATATTTGAAGCAAATTATAAAGCAATTCCAAATGTGATTTTCCATAGTATAATCATAATTATATTTCAGTTTATCTTAGACTTGAATATGATCCTCTTTGGACGCTGACAGGGCGCACATTTTTATACCATAAGTAAATAAACAGAAATGAGGATCTTTTTGTTGCTTGAAATTTGTTGTTGAACGCTGAGTTGAATAGAATACAGAGCAGGAGTAGGGGACCAGGGCCAGGGGTGTCGCTGTGTGGCTGCCACCTGCAGCAGATGGTGGGGACAGGGTGCACTCACCACGCTGTTTCCTTCCAGGTATTTTGCGCTGGGACTGCTCTATCATTATAATAACCAGGACGCTGCTGCCGTTCAGGTTAGTTCCAAAGCATCTGAGCATTATTTAAAAATCAGTACCATTTCGCTTTGTGTTATTTGAGAAAAAATCACAAACATCATGATAGAGACCACTTTTGCCTGATCTGTAACCTTTTTTACAGAACAAAAATAGTACTATTTTAGAAAGTGAATTTCTTGAGAAATGTTGGCCAAGAGTTTTCTTTTCTTTGTCTTTACATCTCTTTAAAGAACATTATCAAGATTGAGTTTTTGAAAATTAAGAAATAGAAATATGATTTTTTACTGAGCCACGAGGCATGTGATATCACTGCCTTATCAGACAGTTAAGCATGTGAATAAGTTTGTTTATAATTTCCACTGTTAATGACAATAGCTGTTGCCAGTGAGCTGGGTAAATTATGATCCCCATGTCATCTGTGACAAAACTAAAGCTGACCCAAGCCAGTCACTTGCCCAGGATCACACCACTGGCCAGTGGTAGAGCTGGGATTGGAAGCAGTCTCTAGGTGGCCCTGGCAGGGGTCCCACACCTGAACTGAAAATGGCATCAATTTCTAGCTTTGTCTCTTGTCTTGAATCTCACATCTCATACCTGGTCTTGAGCAAACTTCATCTCCCTCTTTCACGAGACCATCTCCCCTTCTGTCATTTGTCATCCGCTGGTAGTGCTTTGTATCGCAGTTTCCTCACGTGCGTTTTTTGTTTTGTTTTGTGAGCAGCCAGGAACATCAGCGGTACTCACAAAGCTAAACTCATCTTTATGACTTTGCAAAACCACACATATATTCGGTTGCTTTGAGAAACTGTCATGGTAAGATGGTTGCAGAGTGGGTTAAAAAAAAATGGGTTCCCGTCATCATGTACCCAATGGCTAAGAGTAGATTTGGGTGACAAAGATAAAAGTTTGATTTTATTTTTAATATTTTCTCCCAGTCCGTGGCTTATCTTTTCATTTTCTTTTATTTATTTATTTGTTTTATTTTATTTGATTTTTTTGGTGAGGAAGATGGGCCCTGAGCTAACACCTGTTGCCAATCTTCCTCTTTTTGTTTGAGGAAGATTGTCCCTGAGCTAACATCTGTGCCAGTCTTCCTCTATTTTGTGTGTGGGATGCTGCCACAGCACGCCTTGATGAGTGGAGTAGGACCCTCGAACCCCAGGCTGCCAAAGTGAAGCTCGCCAAACTTAACCACTATGCCAGTGGGCCAGCCCCTGATTTTTTAAATCGCATAGTTCTGAGAATTACAGTTTGATATAAGTGTAATAATAACATTGGCAGAGCTATAGAGAGAAAGATTTGAAAAATTGAAATAATAGGAAATAAATCTCCATATATGGCAGAATTCTGCTATAAAAAAATGACACGTTTCAGTATGTGTGTGAGTAGGTTATTTGGCGTGGGGAATTCAGTGTTGAAGAAACTAGTACCGTAAAAAAAAGTTCATATGCTGATGTCAGAATTTACGCTGCCCGCCCTGTTTCCTGGGCTTCTTGTTCATGCCATGATTCACAAGTGCAGCGCGGTGGATAGGTAGAGGAGGTACACGACACAGGTGATGCCGTGTGGACAGCCTCTGTGTCTTCCGCCCCACATGGCGTCGCCTCATTCTGGGGTTCTGAAAGTAAACCTCGGTTTACATGGCAGGGAAATTTCTGGATCAAATAGCAAAGGACTGTAAGTCTGTCATGAGCCCCTGTGCAAAAGACAGTCAGAACCTAGGGGACAGAATCACGAAAGTTTTTGAAAGCATAACATCTGACTCTCACAGTCCAAAATGGACTTCAAAATCAAGAATTCCTGTGATGGAGAAGGTGAAAACAGCCTCACTGATGGAGGCCAGTGAATTTCTTCTGTGTTGGATGTTGTCAGTGATCATTTTGTTTATTTCATGGAAAAACATTTTTAATACATCCACCTCTTCCCGTGTATTATATTTACTATTTGTATTACTGTGATATCATTTAAAAGGAAAGAAAAAGAACTTGGTGCTTTATTTTCTTGGTTTGCTGGAACATGTCTTCTACATTTCTATATTTCTCTGAAACAATTTAAATTGATTTAAGCATTTAAAATTTGTCCTACTAGTTTTAAGTATTAAGAAGCCAAGTAAGTAAACATGTGCCCTTTCTAAGCTAATTCTAAAAGGTATATAACCTTCCATTTGTTTTAATTTTTTACTCCTTTCCAGTTGTGGGTGAACATCGTGAACGGGGACATTCAGGACTCCACGCGCTCAGACCTTTACGAATACATCGTTGACTTCCTCACCTACAGCTTAGACCGGGAGCTCGTGTGGAAGTATGCTGACTGGGTCTTGCAGAAAAGTGAGGAGGTTCGTGCTTCACAGATGCGTTCTTTTTTGGGGGACCAGTAAAAACAGACAGAAAACTTGATTTTAGGTGGGAAAACAAGCCGTGCTTCACTCTCTCCCTCCACTTCCTTTGTTATCTATTCAGTACATCTCCTTGAGCCATCTGAATCCCAGCTCTTGAGGAAGGCCTGCCTTTCGGTGCTTCTGAGACATCCTGCATCCTGGAGATGCTGGTGACTGTGAAAAGCGTAATAACTAAATTAAGCCAAACTCTCGAGATATTGAACTATTTGCTGGAACCCTTCTCTTTTGCTTAACCTTTTAGAAAGTTACACTGACTCTCTGGACCCTACCATCCCAAGTCACTACCATGAGGTGTCAGCGTATTCTCTGGTTTCTAAACAAAACAACCGTTTCATAGTGTATTCGAGAAACTGAGGGACACTGCTGAGAGAGCCCATACCCGCTACTCTTCTTTCAGATTGGAGTTCAAGTTTTCACCAAGAGGCCTTTGACCGAACAGCAGAAGGATAGTTTTAATCCGGAAGATGTTATCACCTGCCTTAAGAAATACCCTAAAGCTCTTGTGAAGTATCTGGAGCACCTGGTTGTGGACAGGAGCCTGCAGGTGAGGCCTTCAGAGCTTAGGCTGAGGGTGCGGCTGCGGGCTCCCGTCGTCACTGAGAGATGGGATTCGACTATGCATCTGTTGGTGGACGGCACTAATGTCGTGTTACATGTTCCCCTAGGGTTCGGGCTTTACTTGTTGATGGTCTGGGGGAGCTGGAGGTTTGTGAAAGAGACCAGAGGAATAAGTCGCTTGTTCTTGCCCTCCATCTCATGTCCACTCAGCTTATTCTGTTTCTTCTCTGTTCCTGCCTTGTTATTCTTCTTCAAGGAACTGAGAAAAGCTACCCGTTTCTGGAGAATACTTAAATCCTGTGGCCCTTACTTCTCAAAATAAGAAGTTACCCTTTTATATTTTTCCCACTGATTTTAAATTCACCTTCTCTGTTTGGTGGTTTCGGAGAGGTTTTCGATCACGGGTGTGTTGTGTTAATTTTCCTTGAGCCTCTGCCCCCGCGCAGCTCAGCACAATCCGGTCTCGAGAGCACTGCTGACCGGGCATCCCCAGCGTCCCTCTCGCCAACGCTGTCTGTCTGCTCGGATGCCCTTTCCTGCAGAAGGAAGAGTACCACACGCGCTTAGCTCTCCTCTACCTGGACGAGGTGCTGCGACAGGGGCCCGGCGCCAGCGGCAAGGGTGCAGAAGTGACTGAGACACAGGCGAAGCTACGACACCTGCTCCAGAAATCCGACTTGTACCGAGTCCACTTTCTGCTAGGTGAGGAGGCTCTCGGGGTCTCTGCGCGGATCAGCTCCACCGAGGCCCCCAGGAGGGGGAAGCAGAGGTGAAGGCTCTGCATGGCTCCGTGTTTTGAGTCCATGGGGGGATTCCTTGAGCCTCTTTTGGCATAAAGTCAGCCTTCCTGGAGGGTGGGGCAAAGCTTCTCATGCCTCCACCCCCTAGAAATGGACGTTGGCCCTTTAACTGATGACACAAAAGCTGCCCTGGAGGGTGTGGGAGTCTGCATGTCTGTTGAGCATACCTTCATTTAACTTTCCTTGTTTGACTTTGAAGCATTGGAATCAGAGTTCCTTCTGGTGACTCCAGCGTTTGATCCAGGCTTTGCTAGCCGGCACTGCCCAGAGCAGCCCACTCACGGACTGCCCAAGGCTCAGAGCCAGAGGGGGGCAGTGCCGGTGTCTTGGAGGGGAGTGTGGTTTTCGTTTCCTCGGGATGCAGAGACCGCGGTTTCTGTAGTGTGTAAAGAGCCACAAAACAGCATGGTGCTCACACCTGGTAGAATTCACTTGTCTCTTGCTGTATGTGACATGATAGAATTTCTAGATTTGTTCTGACTGGGATTAGTAACAAATTTCTCTTCAGCAGCATTTGACACCATTTTTGACCATTAACTACAGTTGATTCTCATTATTCTCAGTAGTTATGTTCTGGAAAGTCACCGCAGACACTGAGTTAGTGAATCCTGAACCACTGCTCTTAGAGGAAGTACAGGGTTAGGTTCCCATGAGCCTCTGGTCACAACATTTCCTCAACCGATCCATACCTAACCTTGTTTTATGAGTGTTTCTGTTTAAGGATACCTTATTTAATGTGTATTGTTGACTCATTAACGCTGAACTCACAGGCCTGTAACTCAGGCCTGAAGGAAGCTCATCTAACACACATTTTCTCTGTAAGGCACATCCCAGCCTCCTTGTGCATAGAAACACTGGGCAACACTTCAGCACTGCGCTTGGTGCCATTTTAAACGGTGAAATCACCAACAAAAAGCACAAAAATGCAAAAACCGTGGCGCGCAGTATACCATGAAGAGGACATTTGTTTACAGGAGAGCTGCAGCAAGGACGCAGGGCATGGCCTTGTTGACCTCAGCTGGGAACATGCGTGTCAGGCCGCTCACATTTTTTGCCACTCTGTGCATGTCCGCAAACGACCACAAAAGCACCAGGAGTATTGATTTTGGGGTTACAGATAAATTTTGGTGAGTAGGTGAATTCGCAAATACAGAATCTGTGAATAATGAGAATTGACTGTATATGGTGGGCATGGGTCAAAACTGAGCATGATTAAGATACTAATTTCCATAATACCCTATGAAGCAAGCCCTATTTTTAAATTATTTTTGTTATTATTTTTTTTAATGTATTTGTTTTTAATGCAGTTGTTTATTTGAAGGTCTGTACTGTTTAATTTTTTTTTTTTTTTTTTTTTGGTGAGAAAGATTGTCCCTGAGCTAACATCTGTGCCAGTCTTCCTCTATTTTGTATGTGGGATGCAGCCAAAGCATAGCTTGAGGAGCGATGTGTATGTCCATGCCCAGGATCCGAACCCACGAACCCAGAGCTGCCGAAGCAGAGCACGTGCACTTAATTAACAACTATGCCACCAGGCTGCTCCTATTATTATTTTTACAGGAGAGTAAATTGAAGCTTAGAGAAGTTCTCCAACTTGCCCCAGGTCACACAGCTCGTGAGCAGTAGCTCCAGAACACTAGCTGGGGTTGATACGTCACCTGAACAGCACTTGCCCCCGGGCTGATGTGCAGGTGCCATGCTTGTCAGCCACACTGGTCTCTCACAGCTGCTGTCCATTCTGATTGTTGGTGCCCATGCTATACTGGTCGCTCAACATTTTTACTATCATCCCTGACTTATTCCATACTTCATGCTTCACAAATCCCCTTCTAAAAATCTCCTGCTGGTCGTGAGTTGGTGATCAGTGTTCTCATCCAGCTACCGTTTTTGAACATGTGTCGTGTGTGGGACACTGCACCAAGCTTATAAGGGTGGATGTAACTTGGTTCTTGTCTTCAGTTTAACGAGAATGCAGATAAGGGCTGATAGACACTCTGTGCAAGGCCGAGGGAGCAACGAGCCGTGCGCTGGGGTGGAGGGGCAGGGAGAGCCTCCCAGAGGAGGTCCTGTTTGAGCAGTCATAAAGGATAAATCTGGGCTTGCAGGGAAAACTGGGGAGCTTGTAGGAAATGGGGCGTCCCCCAAGGCACTGTGGATGAGCACTGGAAACTCAGAGACATACTCTGTCCCCTTGCTAGTCAGGTGACTTGGGGGGTATAGTCTTGGCATGTTGCGATAAGGGTTCCTGTCCAGCCTACCCACTCGGGGTGGCTATGAGAATCAAATATAAATGAGAAGATGGGTGTGAAAAGTGTAGATCACTACAGTGACCTTTTCTTCACCCTCTTTGCACCTCTGCTTGTGCCTTAAGTGTGGTAGCCACTTAGTAATTATTTGCTGACATTCTTTGGGAGGATGATGGTGATGCGCGTTGCAGCCTGTGTGTTTAGTGCTGTAGGTGACCTGTGTGGTGGAGCCAGCCCTTTGCTCCAGGACTAGTGGTGTCTGCCGTGTACATCAGGCCTGAGCGTAGCCAACTTTAAATGCAGAATGCCTATAAATTGAGAATTAACCTTGGCCCCTGAAATAGGAGTTGTCCTCGGAATATCCCTTCACATTAGGAAGAGAAAGTAAGATCTCTTCCTATTTTACAGAGTGATGGAAAGCAAAGGGCCTCTACCAGTGAGAGACAGCCCACGAAGGGCAGCCCGGGTCAGAACTAAGGCTCCCTTTGGTGCTCTCATTTTACTTATGACCTGGAAACTGAAATTGCAGAAGAAACAAAAGGAGATCTTTAGAATGATGTAGATACGGATTTTTAACAATATGAAGCCATATTCCTTCCCATGAAATATATTTTAAATTGAAATAAAGGAGTTCGCCACACTTTTGGGGGTGGTGGTATAGTCTGGATTCAAGTGAATATAGTGCCTTTCTGCTTTAGTTAAAAGGTCCCATACTGGAAAAATAGGAATAATGGTGGATGAGTTGGAGGCCTGCAACTGTGACACTCACTGTTTCCCTGGGGCCTTCTGACATCATGGGTCATTTGTTTTATTCATCGTTAGACTGAGATCTGGCTCTCCTTGTAAGTTGAGTCTGGCTTCGGTGTTGCTAACACCCAGATTGGAAGCATGAGAATACAAGAGCACCCACTCTTCATCGTCTCGGGGGCGGTCTTTAGCAGGGTCTAGGCAGCTGGGTTTGGTTTGCCCTGTCTTAGGCTACAAGCACCAGGCTGTGGCCTTGGATTGGCAGGCCGAGTGGCTCAGGCCCTGCCTGTTTCTACCTTGTGGATTCCGCCCAACAGATAGAATCCAGGGCGCCGGCCTTCCCATGGAGAGCGCCATCCTGCACGGGAAGCTGGAGGAGCACGAGAAAGCCCTGCGCATCCTGGTGCACGAGCTGAGGGACTTCTCGGCGGCTGAGGACTACTGCCTGTGGCGCTCCGAGGGCAGGGACCCGCCCTACCGGCAGCGGCTTTTCCACACGCTGCTGGCCATTTACCTCGGCCCCGGGCCCTCCGCGCACGAGCTGACCGTGGCTGCCGTGGACCTCCTGAACCACCGTGCCGCCGAATTTGACGCCGCCCAGGTTCTGCAGCTGCTGCCCGGCAGCTGGTCAGTGCAGCTCCTCTGCCCATTCCTGATGGGGGCCATGAGGGACAGTGTCCACACCAGGAGGACAACGCAGGTGGCTCTTGGCCTGGCCAAGTCTGAAAACTTAATCTACAAATACGACAAGGTGAGAGCCTGGCCCTTCTAGGCAAGCCAGCCTCCTGACCAGTCGATGTTTTATTTGAGGTAGATTTTACCTGTGGAAATATTCTGTGTCAGTTTTTCTCTCCACCACTTCAGCACGTCAAATGTGTGATTCTACTCATAGGAAAACAGAGATCATGTGAGCAGAGGCAGAGGCTAGGCTGGCAGGGGGAACGTTGGTGTCGTTTTCCTCCCCTTCTAGACCCCGGTGTTCAAGAGAGCATGTGGGAAGGCTAGCACTTACCTATGGCGTACATACTGTGTGCCAGGCACGGATCTACACTTTACATCATGATATCATTTCATCAGCACAACAGTTTTATGCAGCATCTACCATTATATCTCCGTTTCACAGAGGAGGAAAGTGAGGCACAGAGAAGTCGCCCAATAAATGGAGGAGCGCAGATGCGAGTTCCAGGCCAATTCAGAGCTCCACGTTCTTGGTCACTGTATTAGGCAGCTCGGGCTGCTATAACAAATACCATAGACTGAGTGATTTAAACAACAGACGTTGATTTCTCACAGTTCTAGAGTCTGGAATTTCAAGATCAAGGTGCCAGCAGATTCGGTACCTGGTGCCTGGTGAGGACTCTCTTCCTGGCTTGTAGACAGCCCCTTTCTCTCTGTGTCCTCACATGGCAGAGAGAGAGCGAGCTCTGGTCTCTCTTCCTCTTCTTATAACGGCCCTAATCCCATCCTGGGAGCCCTACCCTCCTGACCTCACCTTAATCACCTCCCAAGGCCCCACCTCCGAAGCGTTGGGAATTAGGCTTCAACGTACAAATTTGAGGGGGGACACAAACATTCAGTCCATAACAGTCCCCAGGCTCACTCCCTTCTGGAGACTTCTCTCTTGTGAGGCCTGTATTCCATGCGGCTGGTGGAGCGATCTTTCCAAAGCAGGAATCCGATGTGTTCCTCCCACTTAGAAGCCTTCGGTGACTCCTCCGTGGAGGAATCGAGGCCTGGAAGATTAAGTCACCTCCTTTGGCCTGTCTCTGTCCATCTCTCGCTGCTTGTCTGGATGCGTGGAGCCTCCCCACGTGACGTGTTGTTTCATACATATGGCCTTTGTCCCGGCCCTGCCCTCTGCCTGAGATATTCTTACCTTTTCCTTTTGTGCCTGGTGAATGCCTCCTTGAAACCCAGCCTAAGTGTTTTTCCTTTGTGAAACCTTCATATCCCTTTAAGCAGACTAACCATCTCTTTTGCCTACTCCTGTACTGTGTGCATGCATTCGTAATGGTCTCCCTTTACTGTTGGACTTTGGTTCTTTGAGAGCAGGGAACTTCATTTATTTATCTCAGTATTCCTAGAGCCCAGCCTGGCATCTGGAAGGCATTTAGTAAATGTTTGTTGAATGACTGATGAAATTAATGAGTACAGAGTGAATTCACTAAGTTGCTATTCAATCCTGCCAATAGGCTGACTTGCCTGTGTTGACACAAATGAATTGTGAAGAAAGGCTTTTTAACTTCCAAAACTCAAGTCCTATGTGTGGGACAGGGAGCAATGGAATCACAGCTCAGTTTTCTTAGTTACCTTTAAAGAAACGAAATTCTTTCCTAGGACCTGGCAGAAATGTGCCAGTAATCAGCCATATGGCTTGACTAAGTCTCTGTTTGTACCTTACTTTTTTTGTTTGCAAATGAGAGGACCAGGGAATTGGATGATTTACACTGTCTTATTCGGCTCTCACATCACATGACTTTATAACAGGCCTTGTTAAACGTGCCGGCGCTCAGGGAACGTGAGGGAGAGTCCTGGTTGGAAAGGCCTTGGCCACACAAGCAGCAGGCTACTTTTGTGAGATAAGAAACCGGTTTTACAATTTTTTTTTTACTTTTCAATTTACTAAGGATGTTTTTGTTTATTTTCACTGCTAATATTCTATGTCAACAAGTGGATGGTAAAGCAGTCCTCATCCATGATAATAATCCGTGGGCTAATACGTATCAACTCTGAAAACCTGACGTAGCTTTATGTGAGAGACCCACAGTCTTTATTTCTTTTTGCAGATGAAGTTGAAAGGAAGCTCAGTTCTGCTTTCAGACAAAAACCTCTGCCAGATGTGCCAAAATCCCTTTTGTGAGCCCGTGTTTGTTAGGTACCCAAATGGAGGTCTCGTCCACACCCACTGCGCTGCCGGCAGACACACGAACCCCAGCTCCCCCAGCCCTGGCGCCCGGACTTGAAGAGGCCCACCCGAGGGCACGAGGGGGACCCTGAGTTCATGACCAGGCCTGCTGGGTGCAGAGAGCAGAAAGCCACTGCACTTGTGTCAGCCAAGACAGAGGGATGACATCTGGGTGCTGGGGAGCCTCAGTCAGTGTGAAACAGGGCCTCTCCGCTGCTGACCACTCTGCTTTGAATGGAAATGGAAACCCCGGAAACAGAGACTGCGAGACTGCACCGTCCAGGTACACAGTAGTCCACAACAGATGTCTGCTTTGAAAGATGAGCCTTCCCTGTGCAACCCAGACAAACTGGGCCCCCAGCCCCACTCCCCGATCTTTAAACACGCATTTGCACGGGAAACATTTGCTTCAGGGCGGCAGAGAGGTGAAACCCCATCTCGGCCAGGCGAGTGGCCGGGACACAGAGCCCTGTGGCAGGTGGGTTTCACGTGATGCGCCTTCCCTTCCCGTGTAAGTGCGTTCTCCGTCCACAAGGCACAGCAGCTGGGGTCCTGTCTGTTTCTCGAGATTACCTCGGGGGCTCTGCCTTTGCTCTTGGAAATAGCTGACCTTAGGGAAGTGTTTGTGTTCCTTCCTGCTTCCCGTCTGGCTCTCAACCCCTGAAAGATTCTGCCTTGTTTACCCAAGCTCTCCCTTTTGGGTAAATTCGTATGCTTCTGGCTGCCTAGCAAGTGAAGACCTGTCAGAAACTGGTAAAGCTCGAAGAGAGAAGCTGCGTGCCCATCTTAGATGACAGCGGACAGGAAACCAGGGCGGGTGAGGGCCCAGTGTATGTTCCTTTACTGTCGCCTCATCTGCTTACTTGAAACTCCATGATTAACACGTTTGACTAAAAATTTTTATTCGAAGTTATATCATCTTTGTAGTTTTTCTCTTGTTTAGAAATTCCCCTGTCATATTGGTTAGGGACATTTTTTCTTGTTAACGTACCTCCTGTTGAATACTCGGGAAATTAAAAGGGAAATATTGTGAGCACAAACGGAGCGTATTTTCAGGGGAGGTCGGTTTTAGCCTCACACTCTCAGCAGGGCGGACAGTGGTGACAGCTGCCTTTGCACGTGACAGAGACGCCATCTTTCCTGGCGGCTGCTTCTGCACACCCTGCGGGGAAGTCCAGTCGGGCTGCCTTACCTGCCAGCACTTGACACGCCTGCTCTGAGGTTTCCTGAACACACAGGAAAAATGCCTCCTGTTCACCACGGACTGGGAATTCAGTGTGTTTCTGTTTGACATCTCTGAGAAACTGAAGCTAGTGTTGCTTCACTGCCCTCTTTTGAATTTCTTCATTGTGCATATTGATTCTATTAGGAACTAACAATCAAGACACTGTATCCCCTGCAGTAACGCTTGGAAAACAAGTATCAGCGTCTGTGTGTGACAGGAGAGGACCCTGCACTGTCAGCCCAAGCCCCGGGACGGGGAGGGGGAGGAAGAAGAGCTCATTCCCCATTCTTTAAAAAATGTTTTCCTGAGCTAATAATGGTCAGTATTCATTTTCGTTTTGTGATTCTAAGGGGGCAAAGAAAGTGAAGGCATCCATGCATTCTTTCCTAACTGTGTCTCGATTATCTAAAGAATAAATGATGAAGAAGTTCTTGTAACTCAGCCACACGCTGTGTACATTGGTGTGAATTCAAAGCCCAGGCGTGAGTTTCACCCTGTGGATGACTGTTACGGAATGGTCGTGTTGCTATGTACGTTATCATTACAACTTATGAGTTTGCATTTATTCCTTGAAGAATGAGTTATGCAATATTGCACTTTTAAAAGCACTGTTCCTCTGTACACAAAATGGGTGAAATCTTGAAAAAGACTTGTGATTGCTCATTCCTAACTTGGGGACACTAGTCTCTTTTTTCTCTGAACACTGATCAATATTTTGAAATGTTTGTTAATCCTCTAGAATAATGAGAATTCAAGTTGAACTGTTTTCCATCTCTACCGAATCCCAGCACGGGCAGAATTCTATGACACTGTGCAGAATTGCCTCCTGTGTTAAAAACCATGCCTTTCTCTAACTCCCACAAGGTCCTTTTCTCAAATCATATTTTTAAAAGAAATACATGGTTCTTTCTAAGGCCTGCTGTTTTGTGATTGTGCCGTTGAATAGAGCAATTAGAACCATCACTCAGCCCTTTTTTCCCTCGTTAGGTTCCGTGTAACCATTCTAGTTAAAACAGCATGAACTGAACTCGGCTGACATTAATATTCTGTGGGCAATACTATTTAATTTTATGAACTGTTTGTCTTCTGTTGCCTATCAAGTATTAATGTGGGAGTGTGGTGTAGGCTGTGGAGCCCCGGGCCTGAGCGCAGAGCTAGAGAGCCCGTGCCGGTGGGCTTGGGTATGTGGGCGTCCTTCAGGAGTGCAGGGAGCGCGGGCGGCCCCGGGGCGCGCCATCAATCCATGCCTGTCACACCATGGGGGTAGCTGTTGCATTTTTCTCTCTCCTGTGGAAACCTTTGTCCTTGCAACTTTATCCTTCGCCCCTGGCTGGGTCCCAGATAACCAAGATGTACAAATGTAAACTTGTTGATTTTATTAAAATTCTTTTAATTCTTGGTTCCTTCTGTAATTTTTTTTAAATAAAAACTATCTTGGTGACATGACGGTTTCCACTCTCATGATCCCTAGCCTGAAGAGTTCTAGAACCTAGTCATCTGGACCTGGCGACTCCTCCCAGCACCTGCAGAGGACTTACGGTGGCACTCCTTAAATTCTTTGTTAGTCCTTTGCTGAATTTTAAATGATCCACTTCTGAATTTATCTCCCACATATTCTGAAGGCGCTCCTTGACGTGTGTTGCCTTCCGATTAATCGTGCCCTGAGAACTTGAGCAAAGGAGATTTCTGGTTATTTCTTACATGATTTGCCCTTTAGCCAAGTGCTCCTAAATAAGCCTTGGATTTCTAACCCTGAATATATTCAAGGAATATAACTTTTTTTTAATCTCACCTTTTAAATTTTAATTCGTCCCTTAGAACCTTGCTTATGGCTGTCTTTGAGAAATCCTGTTGAGTGAGTTTCACGGCACTTCCCGGGTTCATTGTCTCCCTCGGGGTGCTGGACTGGCCCTGAGGCAAGGGTGCTAACACAGCGGGCAGCCCCTGACTCTGCTCTCCCTGTTCTGCATTCGGTGGGCTGGTAAATTCTGAATATGTGTGGGTGATAGTGGAGGTGAGGTGTCATGAGTCATCTGTGTGTCAAGTTGAAGAAACTGAGGCCCAGGTTGCTGGCGTGATTCTCTTGGCATTTGAGTCCCCCACGCCAGAGCTAGAGTCCCCACCCCCAGGCTTCCCAACTGGTGCTTCCACCACAAATGAAAGAGAAAAACAAGAAACCAACCCAGGGCGGGCTGTACTTAAGCAGAAAATCACAAAGTATCAACTTGACTCTCCTTTTCTCATTCCTATACCACTGGTATCCCATGGTTCATTAGCATATTAGAGATTAACAGGGGGTGCTTGGGTTTACAGGCCTGACTAGAAAGGAAGAAGTGGTGTACTCACACTGCCTGGGAGAAGAATACAGGCCAAGTGGCTGCGAGAGAAAAGAGTGTAAATTGATGAACTGAAGGTGTCTGTTGGTGGAGGCAGAGACTGGCGCCTGACTCAGGTAAATGGGCTGTGACTTGTGTGAGGAGTAATTAGATATTAACTGACACCCCATTTGCTCTTAGCAGATCTGTCAAGCTTAGCGTTTGAAATGAAAATGTACAAGAATCCAGACCATATGGACCAGAGGCCCTTTCACCTTTGCGAAAAAGCTAAATGGCTGGAGCACCATCTAAAAGCTTGTTAATACCTTGTTCAGAGATAAGCACGGAATTAATGAAGCCTAGGGAAGGGAAACAAATAGCTATAATACAATCTGCAGTCCAGAGTCGTAAATTAGTTAAACGAGGCACATGGCAAGAAGGGATTAGACAGCAACACTTACAACTCAACAGGCTGAGTGTGACTTGCAAAGTAAAATGTTACCACTAGATTCGGGAAAAGCTGGGTCTCGGGCACACTCAACTGTGGTCCTGCAAGTCTCGTCCCCTGGACCTTGGTGGTGTCATCCATAGACTTGAGGTGGAGCTGGGTGGTATCTGAGAACCCTTCCAGCATTGACCCTCTGTTCCAAGTGTGGGAAATCAGGGCAAAGTAGTGGGTATGGTCCAGCCTTTGAAACCAAATGCCGCCCTATAGGATCTCGGATCTCAGGATAGCACCCAGCACAGGAACTCTTCTGCAGCGTCCCCGAGGAGGTGTCTGAGCACGCCCACAATCTCGCTGCATTGTTGTAATTAGTGGAAAAGTGTCTCTCTGTAGCCCACACACGCTGGTTCAGGAGTCGGTCTACATGCCCTTTTCAATAGCTGGCTTTCAGACGCCCCTTTCCTCCAGTGTCTTCCAGTCTTGGCTAAGAATCCCTTTGCCTTTCCTCATGTGCTCTGGCTTCCACAGTCCTTCACCATTATGGTCATCTTTCTCTAGAGAATGTTTTCCATTCATCTCATTTGAAATACCAGTTTTTCCATTTCCAATTCCGTTGGTTTCCGACTAAGCCAAGGAGGCAGATTCCAACCTAATCTCAATAGGAATGTGAGCTTCCACGACACAGCACACTGCACCACTGCTGCTCGTCGGACTGACTCATCCCAGCCTCTACCTCTGTCTTATCACCCACATGTGTATGATTTACCCAGAGCAGCTGGTGTGCACACTAGAGCTAGGGTACTCCGGCTGCCACCCCCCCGCCTCCTCTGCAGTCAGCACCTTACAGGAAAACCCCCACCTCTGTTTCTAAATTGTTTTTCAGTACACTGCACATTTACAGGCAACTGTTGACTTAAGCTTGTAAATAAATATAACTGAAATGTTAAACTTTTCCTGTCTTGAGAATTAAGGAGAGCATTTCCCCAGTTGTTCTTTATACTTCCAAAGGTATTAGATTTCTTTGATTTCAGTTAATTTGTTTGCTTTATATGAGTAAACATGGTCAGAAACTCAATTTTCTATCCAAAAAGGACAGTTTACCGTATTACTAGTATGGCTATATTTAATACATTTTCCACATATGTTAGTCTTCTAGTCATTATCATGGATTTTTTTATTGTGGTAAAATACACGTAACATAAAACATACCATTTTAACCATTCTTCAGTGTAGAGTTCAGTGGCCTTAAGTACATTCACAGTGTTGTGCAACCATCACCACCATCCATCTCCAGAACTTTTTCATCTTTCCAAAAGGTGAAACTCTATACCGATTAAACAACAACT